ATTTGTTTAGAGAAGTCTGAAGGTCAGGTGCTCAATACCACTTATCTTGTCAGCGCATATTGAGTACCAATCATAGAATTCGATATCTACTCTCAACCTAATTATTTGTTTCTGCTAACAAGATTCAATATGGCTTCCGTGGCAGCCTTGATACCACCAAGAAGACTATAGCTACAAAAAATTCAATTAAGCTTGTTTGTTAGAAAAGCTAAGATGCATTAGTTCGCCAAAAACCCACCAAAGAAGCGGAGCCAGTCCCTACGAGTGGTCAATAAGTGGTGGCAGGGTTCAGCTAGCATTCGGCCGCATTGCTGCCGGTCGCTCAATTTTCATCAAGAATGGTACTGTCCCAATTAGCTTTATATACTTTAATGAAAATAGTTTGATTGCATATCATGAAAATCACGAAAGCCAGAATAATGCATGCTTAAAAGAGTTTAAGATACTCGAGTGAAAATTGTGAATAAAATTGTGAATAACGCTCTATTTTTGATATTAAAAGCTAACAAAGCGGTAAGAAAATTGTAAAAATGCAGAATTTGTCAACCTGGCAGTGTCTGAGTCATAATGGTGAAGCCGAGCCAAGAAAGAACCTCGTAAGTGTAGTTGGGGCAGGCGACCAGATTGAATAGCCAAGTAAAAGGATGCCCTGATATCGGATGAGGAATGCGACGTTCCCGAGTCCCCACTGGGCGAAGCCAGCGCAGTGCGAGATGACAGGAGAAATTTCCGAATTCGCCAAGCTGATTTAGATTTAAATGAGGAGAATTAAAAGCATGAACTCAATAAACTGAATTCTGTTAAAAATGATAGGCAACAGAGATTAGTGAAAATCAGCTTATGGAAACAATGTAGGACAGTAGTAAAGATAGGTTTAACCTAGTTTTGACAAGTCAGTCATGTTTAGGGTAAACTTCGAAGAAAGTGCACCAAAATGTGACCGTGTTATCACTTGCTCAACATCGGACTTGTAATTTAGTACACTTCAGGAAGTTTCGGCAGAATCGTAGACAGCATC